TATTTCTCTCCTTGAATTAAGCCTAAATGTTAATTAAGGCCAAATTCCTAAAATTTCACATTTGCCCCTAAGGCTCTAACACTTCATAATTTGTCAAATTCAATTCAAATGACTTTGAAATTTTTATGCTACCTTATTCATTGGTCATTTAAGACATCAGAGGGGAAAATGTAATTTTTCAAAATTTAATTTAATTTATATAATTATTTTCATGCAAAAATAAGATTTTCCAAAAAAAATTTGATAACTTGACCAAGGTGAAGCCTAATCACTTGAAATTTTTACTGAAGGTAGACTTAGACCAGAAAACTATTTGGACTAAATTTCATGATTTTTTTAATTTTATTTTAATTATTATAATTATTTCAAGTTCTGGGCTACTTATTAAATATAAAATGTTTTAAATGTGAAAAATTAAGTTCTAAATTTTTAAAAATCTCTCTGAGGTTAGAAAACCCAGAGAAGCAAATTTTATATTTTTTTATTCTTCTTTGATTTATTGGAATTATTTTAGTGGAAATCCATTTTTTAGCCTTTAAAAATTATTTTAAGTTTCAAAATACAATATCTTTATTTAGAAAATCAGAAAAAAATATTCTAATTGCTTCTAAATGCTTAGAAAACAATTTAGAATATTTTCATATATTTTATTATTTTTGTGATTTTTATGAATTTTTAATTATTTTAAATATTTTAAAAATAGGCTAAAATGAAGTTTTTATTTTAAATACCATTTTTTTTATAAAATTTTTCTGATCACAGAGAACTCCAAAGACAAGTTTTCATAATTTTTTGAGTTATATTTTCATTTTTTTTAAATTATTTTAGTGTAAAAAAGGATGTTTAACTTAAAAAATTAATTTAGGCCATTAAATGGACTCAAAATACTTTGAAATTTTTATGAGGAGTTTTCTGAATTTTAAATAACAGTGGAGATTAAAAATCAAGTCATTTTGATGTTTGCATTTTCCAAACTTAATTACCTTAATGTTTTAGAGTGTATAAAGATTAGGTTCATTTTAAATGAGTTGACTCATGAGAAATTTTCCTAAGGGTTCTCTAGTCACAATGAACCTACCAAAATTTTATTGGATTTTTCTAAGTAACATGCTGATTATTATGATTAATTTATGTAAATAATAGACATAAACTTGAAAAATATGGATCTCTGTCTAGAGGTCACCTCTGACTTTGGAAAACTTAGGGAGTGTTTCCTTTGACAGAGGATACAACGTGCCAAAAATTCAAGCTATGGTGATAAGCCTACATGCATGGAGAGTTAAAAGACTCTCAACACTAATTCATTTTTCAAAAATAAAATATTCATCAAATGGACATAAACTTTATCCACATTGTTCTCCTCTGTTCACTGAGCAAGATGATATTTGTATTTTTTTTGTGATTTTTCTATACAAAGTTATGCATTTTTGAAGTTTTGGGGATTAAATAAATAAGAAAACGCCCCTATTTTTCTACTTATCCATGTCAACCTCGTACAGGTCGAACAGACCATGTGTCGCTGCTTGATTGGGCGCCGTCAGCCATCTCATTTCCCGACCCTATCGGACCGCGCTTCGTCCGACGCGATCAGGGCCGCCCGATCGATACACGCTCGATCCGACGGTCACAGGTCATCGTCCCAAATGAACTGGACCCCGAAAACCGTCCATTTTAAAACGCTAATATCTCACTAGACTCTAAACAAAATTGAGTGCAGTTTTTTTAAATGCTCGTCTTGACTACTCCAACACATCTATATGATTAATGAACCCTTAAATTGACTTTATATTCATGAATAAGAAGTTCGGTTTGGGGTTAACTTTCGATTCCTTGGTCCAAGAGGGGCAGCGTCGATTAAATGCTTGTAGAAGCTTTGTGTGGGTCCCAGGAGCCTAGGGATGGAGCCTCTGGTCATGGTGAAATGCCTAGACCCAAATTTGACCAAGGTTGATTTGAGGGTTTGCTCGAAGTCCAACTTAGGGTGATCGAGTGATGGGGCTTTTGTGGGGGATCTTCCTCTCTTGATGTTGGGATGGTGTGGGTGCAATTAATTTGAATTTGGTGGAGGTTTGGATGATGTCCTATTTCAGCCTTGAAATTGAGCTCCAAAATTGAACTTGAGCAATGGCTTTGAGTGGCTAGGGAAAGTTTTGTTAAGCTCAAGAGGTCTCCGGGAAGCTGTGGAAGAAATTTTACAGAGTCTCCCCAATGAATTTCAAGCTCTCCCTTTTTCGCCATGGAGGGGGAGTTTAAATAAAATGGCCTAGGTTGGCTGCCAGGGCCAATGTTTGGGTGTAATGTGATACTTAGGTAATGAGGTGAAGGTTAAGAGGGGGTGGCCCTCAGTTTTGGCTTTTCCGGCGACTAGGCTGGCCGACTAGGGTAGGGGGAGGTGGTTAGGAGCTCAGGGAACTCAAGGGAATACGTCACAACAATTAAATGAGTTGAGGTTTAGTTTTGGCAAAAATATCCAAGGCTTAAGCAAATATGGAATCAAAATCCATTGATTTAGGGGACCTTTGGTACATAGCTTAACTTAGGTGGTTTTATGAGGTTTAGCTTGGTCACTAGGGTCCAACTAATGTCTGTGGAGTCATTAATTTTGTGACTTTGGGGTGGTTAGGCTAATTTTAGTGCATGGGTCCAATGTGGGTTCAAATGACCAAAACTTGGGTTTGGGCTAGGCTAGTCATGTCAATTGATCCAATTGATTGATGAACTTTATGTAGATGATTGTAATGAACATTTTTGGTGAAGGATTGAAAGGTTTTTGAGTTCAATTGAAGGGTCAATTTGAAGGAATTTGAAAATTGGTCATTTTGGGCATATTGCCCTAACCATGGGTCTAGATTGGGCTAACCTTGGTCTAAGTCCAAATTGATGGTTGAAAATGGTCAATAGGAGTTCCATGAAGAGTTTTCAACTTAAATTGGGTGCAATTTTGGGATTAAGGCAATCAATTTGATGAAATTTAGGGACATAGTCAATTTGGGGATTTTGGACTTAAGGTAGAATTAAATGAAATTGATGCTTCACCAAGGCCAATTGAAGGTAAATTTTGCTGTTTAGGAATGTTATGAAGAGTTTAGGGTCCAAATTGAGACCAATAGAGTAGGCCCTAGGGTTCAATTTGAGTCATAGGAGTCATAGGGCCAAAATTAGGGGTTTTGAGTTAGATCAAAATTGGGGGCTCAAATCATTGGGTGGCTCAAATCATTGGGTCAATTGAGCTTGGATTTGATTTAGATTGGTCACATGAAAGGTGAATTTGAGTTTAGGATTAAAATTTGGGGAGAGTGGGATCAAATTGATGGACATTTGAAGTGGATTTAGGGAAATTTGGGTCTTTAAAGGCAATTTGAGGGTTTTAGTCAAAGATGGTGAAATTGGCCAAATTAGATTATGTGGTAGTTGAGAAAAAAGAAATTGGGAATTTGGAATATTTCGGAAATTTTTTGGATTTTTTGAAATTTTTGAAACTTTGTGCTAATGAGGGGCATTTTGGTAATTTGACAATTTCTTTTTGGGTGATTTTGGGTAATTTGGGTGTTTTCAAAAGGTTTGAAATGATTTTTTTGAACAAGTTTGGGTGTTTTGGATAAATTTGGGAATTTTAGCCAAATTTAGGGTTTCAATGGTACTTGGGTAATTTGGGGGAGTTTAGGGGCAAAAAGCGACGATGGGTATTTTGGGTAAGATTTGGGCAACTAACCACCAAAAGTAAGCCATGGACTAATGGAAACCCCATTTGGGTCCTCTATGTACTGGTCTTAGCTAAACCCTAACATAGAACTAGTAGGTTTAGGGAACCATCTACATGAGCATCCCAAAAGTATCAAGGGATCAAAGTCGAGAAATTTTGGGTTTAGGGTAGCGAGTGAGTGTGAGTGTGGGCTGTGAGTGCTTTAGCTCTAGGCCGACACCCAAGGTCAACCCTAAGGTCAAATAGTCCTATAGGAACTCTCCTTGAGCTCCCCATAATGACCCCACCTACTGAGTGCTACAGATTATGACCAATATGTGGAACTTCAAGTTGAGTAAAGAAGAGTTTAGAATTTCTAATGGTGAGGGTGTCTTTTCAAGTTTTTTAAGAATAGTCAATAGGAAAGTTTTAGGACTAGACCTTAGGCTACTAAAGAGGAAGACTAGACCTCAATCAAAAGTGAGGTCAACAAACTGCAAACTCCAAAATAACCCCAAAATAACCTCCACGATTCCACTTCAACAACCCCGAAATGACATTGCAGATGTTATTTCGGGGTTTTTGAAATAGAAAATATGAGATTCTCTTTAATAACCTTAAACTAACATCGAAATAACATACGTGATGTTTTTACGAGATTATTAAAGTAAAACTGCTAAGGTTATATCAGAGATATTTCTGAGCTATTTTGGGATTATTGAAATGAAATATATGAATTTCTCTTTAATAATCCCAAAATAACATTCACAGTTCTACTTCAACAACTTCGAAATAACTTCCACAATATAACACACGTAGTGGCATAATATTGAAGCCCGCACATCGAGCTACCGTCCAGAGTCCTACCAAAAAATTTTTCCCCTAATAGGCCCATCCTTGCCCCCATTAGCTCAGCCTGCTAAAAGTACTTTATTGATAAATCATCGAGTAATAGCATGCAACCGAGAAAATACCCTACAAATTACAATAGAAAGATAGGAAGACCCCCGCCACACTCTTTGAAATGTAAATAAAAGTTGAGCTAAACCTCAGGTCTATTGTGGTGAGAGTCATTCTCTTTCTGAAGTTTAGGGTAACACACAAGAATACCAATAAATTATATATATATATATATAATATATATATATGTATATATATGTATATATATGTATATATAACTTCAACCAGAAGCCCAAAGAGAGATCAACAATTTAATCACCTCTACCCCCATCCACAACCAAATAAGCCCTTATTCTAAACCTAAAAACAGGCAAACGCAAAAAAACATGTTGCAACCAAAACCAATAAACTGAAAACGTGTATATTCAATCAACAACTATAGTGTATGAAAATACTCAAATTATAACGTTTAAACAAGAATAGTTGAATAAGCAGTTCAACTTGTAAAGAGATTAAAATGTTTGATAAACAGGTCTCAACCACGCCTAAAACCACAATAATTTCACAAAAGCTGTCCGCAATACAAAGTATCAGCTCCCAGAAATCCTCCATGAAACCAGCTTCAACATCCATATAACAAATCATCAATTCTGCTGCCACAAGTAATCACCAACAGAAGACTGATCTCCATGAGAAAAGCCCTGAGATTTTGTTTAAATCAGAACCATTATTAACTATAAAAACCTTCTAAATCCCTATAAATTTCGAAAGGAAATGCTGCGAACCTTGAACGGTAAATCATGAAACTGTGTTGCAAGGATCAAATTATCTTCTATCTCCCTTAATGTTATATCTGCCAGAAGACCAACAAGATTATGGTCATAACGATGCAAAAAAATGAAAAAGAAGTTGTAAATCTTAATGTTTATAAAAAAATAGTTAGCTAATAAAAGGATATATGATTATGGGTTCTGCTCATTTGATGTCAAATCAACCGCCATTAGAACCCTGTCAAGAACATTAAACAACCCATAAAATATCTATTTAGAAAGATAGAATGTTGTCAATACAAGTCTATAGCTTCATACCATAAGGGAGATATAATGGTGAAATTTTCAGTCTTTTTTTGAGGGGGAGATCAGTACTCATCCAGTCATTACTTTGGAGGCTTCGCCAAATCCAACTCTGTTGTCCCTAACCCATCTGAAATCATTTCATTGAACAGCTCCTGCCAGAATTCCTCATTTAGCTCCTCTACCGGATCTTCCGGCTGCTGGTCCTCATTTTCTTCCTCACCTTGTATCTCATTCAATCCATGGACTTCTAAGGCCAGATTCTCAAATGCTGAAATCTCATCATTTCCTTCGAGACTATATATGGATTTGGGATCCTGAATTTGTTGTTGGCTTGTGCTCTCGTTAACATTTGCAGGCATATAGTTGATGTAGCGTTTTCTCTTCTTCGAAATGGCTTCTTCAAGTTCCTTTCTCTTGTCTTTCTGCTCAGCCAACTGATCCACAAAGCTGGGATTTTGCATCGCTCTTGCCAAGAATGACATCATATGTTGTTGCTTCTGTTCTATTCCTTTGAGCTTCTCGGCCATGGTTTGAAGGCGAGCTTTGGAGTTTTGCTGATCTTGCCTTAGCTTTATGACTTCTGACATCAATAGGGTTTTATCGCGTTTTAATTGATCGATTTCGCCGTCAAGTCCGTACTTTCCGACCTCGAGACAGGCCTCGGAAGGCTGGGGTTGATTAGAAGGATGGGCAGGGTGTCTTCTTCTTTTGATGGTCATCAGCAAGTGTTTCTGACCTCTGAGAAAGCCCTCGTGAGCGAATTCCCATTTGTCTGGATCAACTTTCCTGAATCCCTGCAGAATTTGAATCGTAAATGAGATGGATATTAAGAATAGTTTCAAAAGAATTGAATAGATAAAATGGGCATTTTGGTACTAAATGATCTAAGAATTTAGTTCTATAAGTTGGCGCGACGCGATCCAAACAACTGCATTATGCATTATCAGAGATATTGTAAAGTCTGTTAGATAAGGTTAAGTAATTTTTTGCAATGAGGGGTTTGGTGTTAGGTTAACAGATCATTAGTGGATATTACATGGGCAATAATCCTTATAATCTTAGATGTACTCTCCATCTAAGAGTATTAGGCATGAATGAAGAAATGAACTAGATCTGTTCTCCAAAGTCTTATCTTCTATCTTCTGAACCATTCAATTTCTGGAGTTGCCGAAACCTCAAATTGCCATTCTTCACACACAAAGAAGTGATGTGGAATCGGAGAGACGATGAATTGCGATGGAAGGTTAGTGAAAGTTTTCTCATGCCAAAGTTTTCCAACCGTTGCACAAACAACAAACAAATACATGTAGCTCACCACCCTCCCAATATCTATTGATATCCCCAAAGTTGCATGGGGCCAATCCTACAAGAAGTTTTGAAACTCTGAAATGTAATGGCCGTGCTTGCTTTATCCTGCAAGCGGACATGTCCATGTAGCCACTTGTCTATGTCAACATTGCAATAAGCAGAAGTTGGCATACTTGAAGCAGTTGAACCAGTTGAATAAAGTGAGTAAATTGCCAAAATAATACTATTTACATGGGATTATTCTAGTCAAGAGTCAAGGAAAGTGCCAAATTAGTTCTCATACTCCTTTAATCTAGCAAAAATAATCCTCCCAAAGGACTATTTTAGCTCTTATTAAAAGAGCATGAGAACTAAATTGAAACTTTTGCAGAATTTGAGACTAAAATGGCCCCCTAGCAGAGAATCAAGGGACCATTTTGACATTTTTCTCAATACATAAATGTCTAAGATTCCTGAACCTAAGAAGCCCCTACTGATCCATGCAACTATATGAATATCTCTTATAGCCATGTTAAAGTCATAAGGATTTTTTCCAGTTGAGAACCCTAGCAAAGTATCCCAAGTGTAAACTTTCTATTAGGTGAATTCAAAGAGAAAAATGATTCCTCTCCATGCGTGTGTACACTTTTATCTTTCTCCCCCCTCCTCTCCCCTCTATCACTTTTCCTCACAATTCCTCTTTCCTAAATACCCCTTGGGATCAAATAAAAACACCTATCAAAGGTCTTGAACAAGCTATTGACATTCAATGCTTTTATTGAGATTTAAACTCAATATGTCCCACCAACCAAATGGGCACCGTGCAGGAATGAGGAATTGAACATTCCCAATAAAGGATGTGTGGATCAAGTAGAAAATAAAAAAGTGACCATAAAAGATTGCTTCAAAAAAATTAAAACACGTTCCCAATAAAGCATTCAAAAATATGTTTTTCATAAAAGTCATAAAAATGTATAAGAAGAAACTCATTCAGAACATATTAAATTCCATATTGCAAGAAAGAATTAGGATATACATTCTACTGATAAATTCATGATTGCATGAACATAAATCCCAATCACTAATATGTTTTACTTTCACCTTGCAAGATATGTGGATCAAGTAGGTATGTTGAACCTTTGAATATAGACTCTAGACAGCATGTGAGTATGCAGCTAGACCTACTAGTAAACTACTCTGGTGATTTGCCGGTTCCAGCATTTTCTTCTGGAGCTACAAGAAAATGATCATGAAAATTTTAAAGTCTTGACTTCAGTTAGATGAACTTGATTAAAATTAAAATAGATTTTAAAATATTTACCACTGCATGTTGTAGTTGGCCGACATGCACAAGTTAAATTTTGAGATAGATTTGAGCTGAAGTACAAAGGCTTAGAAACTTATCCACAAACAGAACACACAAATTTCTTAAAAATACAATTTTATCAAAGACAAAAATGAAAAAAAACTCTTTGACATGCATCCAAAACAGTTTATGAGTTGACCGCATTGCTAAAAAGGACTTCCATTTACAAATCAATCTTAGCATGAAATAATCAAAATTACAGATTAAAATACCTTATTTACATATAAAATCAATTTTTGTAATTTCCCAACAATAGCACCAAAATTTTATCCAACTCAATGCAATGATGCATACCTTGCCACGGAAATCGAAATATCATTTGTAACATAAGCTAAGGTGTGGGTCATGATAAGTTCCATTTACTAAAATTGTTCTCTTTGGAGGTGTAGACTGGATAATCCTTCTTAGTTTGCTACCACAGTAGAATTTCTTAAATACTAATAAACCTAAGAACTATGCCATTAAGACCAATGCACATCGTTGATACCAAGTTAATACCCATCAACTTTAATATCAATTTCTTTCAACAACACTCAAATTCATCATTACTAACAAAGTTAATCCACAATATAAACACCGACATTGACATCCATCAACCTATTGCCTGTTGTTACCGATAACATTAATGCACTCTATCACCAATTAAGCAGACCCACATAATCAACACAAACTATGACACTCATCATATTTGTCCACTATCTTCCCCAATAGAGTGAGCACAACATCCCCAATAAAACCAATGTTCACTCGATGATCACCAACATCATCTCCCACCATCACTTTTTACACAAGAATATTAATGAACATCGTCACAAATAAAACAAATGCATGTTGTCCATTCTGATTCAAGCACAACATCACTTGCCTTAATCACCAATGCTAACGCCTAATGTCGACATCAATACTTATGCTAAATATTTTGATCTCTAATCTCCCTTAGCTAAAATAAATGATCAATAATACCACCAACCATCTCTTATAACTGCAATATCTCAAAACTCTTCCGACTTCTATCGTGAAGTTATTCCCCATAATTCATTATATTTGTCCACACATACCCCAATCGTGGGAAAGCTATCTTTTGTAACACATAACATGCAAAGGTGGAATCATTTTGATTGTAACACATAACATGCAAAGGCCTATAATTTTTTTCCTTTTAAGTTTTCACATCAAAAATATTGTCTCCTATGAATTGCTCTTGATTATTTTTATCTATGTGTGCATGAGATCATCATACAATGTTAAGAAAATAAACTCACTTTACTGCCGTGAATTTTTCAGAAGGCCATGATTCTATTTGACAAAACCTTAATCTACATTTAAGTAAGACCCTCGCAAATACATGTATAAGATTGCAAACATCAATTCCTCCCCAACTGTCCCTTCAATAGAAACTTCATAATCTGGATCTGCCAATACAAGCATCAACTATTCTTATTATGAAAACTTCTTATACAAATATAACAGGCCTGGTATGCTACAATAAATTCCTAGAATTATCAGAAATATTATAATCAATTATGAGGGAACTTTTTTCTCCAACATAGTAAAACTTGTTTCACCTTCATTCTTTCTTTCTCATACACACCACACAGAAAGATCATCTAATTGAGCTTCCTGCATCACTGTAGCAGCAAAACTGATGCACCTGAAAGACTAAACAGTTTTATTTGTATTTTAATTTTTTATTCTAAAATTGTTCTAGAATGAAAAATACATGATAAAAAATTGCTTTATTTGTATTTTTATTTTCTATTCTAAATATTTTTTAGAATGAGCAATAATTTCTCAACCCCTTCAATGAAAAATAGAAACTCAATCAAATGAGCCGTTAACTTCCATAAGCATTTCTGAACAAAAGCCACCAAGAACACAACCACCTTCAAAATTTTGCATATCAGAAAGAAACTGAAAATGGGGGGAATTACTTACATATCAAACAACTTTAATAAATTTACATATCTAACACAAAAATGCATTGAACAGTAAAACAGAGCAAGTTATCAAAATCTCATACATCCATCAAGACTCAAATCACTACGACTTACATAAGTGTTGAGCTGCCTGACGAAGCTGGAGAAATTATTATGCTTGAAATGCTTAGGAAGCAATTCCATTGCAAAGGAATGAGGATCCCAAACAACGAAACTATTGTTCATCTTGCTCCACGAAACCATCTGATCGGTACCCGCGTCATTCACCATGTCATAGGTCTTCGTCAGAAATGGAGGAGGCCAGGAATCCTGCAATCCATCCATCGGCCGCGGAGTAGCAGAAGAAGATGAAGGACGAGGACTGCTCCCCTCTCGCTTCTCCTCCTTCAATTCATTCGGAAAAGGGGGCTCCATCGGCGTATAGAAGAACAGAGAATCCGACGCGAGCTTATGAATCGAGTGAGACTAGAATTGAGAGAAAAAAGCAGCGCGAGCTCTGAGCTTCAGGAGAATTTTTAGCGGGCTGAGGAAGGTGTGGACTGCGGCGGAGAAGGGGTTTATATAGGATATTTTATTAAGTGGGATCGTCTTGGAATATTCTGGAAGGTGCTGGATTTGCAACCATCACATGACCTTCAATCCTGGAAGTTTCCGCGAGGCCGGTCAAAATTTCTATATTCTATATTTTCAAAATAAATAGTTAATTTTTTTTTTAACTATGGAATTTATAGATTTATGTGTGGACAGTTCGTATTCGGTTCGTTAATGAGTTCGTGTTAGATTCATTCGATAAGTAAATAAAATTTTTTTCGTTCAGCTAGTTAAACGAAACAAACATGAACAGTGATGTGTTCGTTTGTGTTTGAATCGTTATTATTCGAAATATAAAAAAATTTAAAATAATTATATATAAAAATTTATGATATTTTAAAAAATTAAATTTTATAAATTATAATATATAATAAATTAAAAATAATAATATATTAATATACTATATTAGTAATATACTATTATAGATATTATATATTTATATAATATAAGTTATATAATTAATATAATATATTATTTATATATATTAATATAAGGGATGACAAACTGACTCGTCGTTCGCGAACAACTTGTGTTCGGCTCTTTCGTTAAGAAACAAATTCGAACAATGACTTCACGAATAATTTCGAACACGAGCTTATTTCAAACAAAATAAATTTCAAACGAACCGAACACGAACACAAACTATGTTTGTTCGTGTTCGGTTAGTTTACACCCTTAGTAGCTATTAAATTATTTAAAATTTAATTTAAAAAAATTAGATAATATGGGTCGAATGTTTAAGTAAAAAATTGGAATTAAATGTTAAGAAGAAAGTGATTCCATTGTGACTGAATGCCCAATAAGCCGAAAAAAATAGTCTAACAGATTAAGTCAAGTTCGAGCCACTCTCGGCTAGAGCTTGAGATTGATTAATTTAATTGAGTTTGAGCTAAAGCTCAAATTTAATTCTACGAGTTTCACAAGCTAACTTGTTTAGCATGGAAGAGAAATAAATATTAATTTAAGCTAATGTTATAATTAAATGACAAATAGATTGAGCATTTAAAAGATAATTAATAAGAAATCACTTGATATTAAATATAAAATACAGGTTTTTAAACCTTTTTAATAATTATTTTTTTTGAATTATATTATATTTCAAGTATATTTTAATTAATTATTTTTTAAACCAACCGACTTACGAGCCAGGGAGTCGAGTCGGCGTAGACTTGAACTTGAATTGTTAGCTCATTCAACTCAATTCACGAGCCACTTATTGAGTCGAGCTCGAACCATCTCACCACTAGGCTTGAATCGTTTACACCCCTATATGCCATCAACTAAATTCCATCATCCGGCACGAATCTCGAGACATGATGAATCTCGAGGCAACCTTGTGAGCATTAAATGTTCAAACTTCGATTAAAAATCATCAAAAACTTTGATTTTAGTACACTTATAGTCAAACTGACCAGCTCAACGAGACGAACCCAATGATACCAAAATTGGTCTAATCCGAATCAAATCAAGCTCAGATTAAGCCATTGAATTTTTTGAAAGATTTTAGTGTGTAATTAAAAATATTAAACTGATTCCAAATCTAGCAAACTTATAGTCCAATCGAGTGTCTCGACAAAACAAATTCATTGAGTCTAAAATTACTCAATTCTGTCATCACTAAGGCACTCAAATTTTCATTGAACATCAACTGATTATGAGAATCTCTCCGAACCATCCGATGAAGTCGTTTGAATTGTTTTTTTTTTTTTGCAGAGGTCTCTCTGAGACTCTATAAATAGTGTTCTACCTCCTCTTGAGAGAGGACCTAGACATTGGAGCCGAAATAAAACCAAAACTTAGAGAAGAGTTGAAGTCCTGCATTGCTTCTGCACCGAAGAACCGATGAATACCTCTCGCTCATGCGTATGCCAACCACCATCAAACACCACCTATCGACCACTCTCTACTCATTACAGCAAAGCTCCATACAAAGTCAAGAGTTGTGTTGCGATGTGAGAATTGAAAATCAACGTCTTTAATCCCAAACATCATGCCAACCTTGAAGGCAGTGAACTGAAGCCCCAACAACTACTCCCTACTGCAATCGCTCTATACAGTTGGCAACTAGCTTTTCTGTACATGTCTATTGTAACTCGATAAACTGTGTAACCTTTTTTCACCTTTGTGAAAAGGGCCTATACGTGTATTCGCCAACTCATAGTAGATCATTCCAACTGGGCTACAACAAAGTGGTTTTTTCCTTTATAGGTTTTTTACGTAGAAACTTATCATGTTTCTACCTATCACTTTTATTACTTTAATGTGTGCTAGATTCTTTTGCAATGCTAAGATTAATTCATTACTCTACTGTTGTGAATTCTCTAACATAAATCAATTTGACACCGTCTGTGGGAAGCAATGTCCTGTCTAAAACTGTCTTTAAGTCTGAGACTCTAAAGCCCTACTTCATCTTTAAATGATATACATCATTCAACTGGAAAAGGAACCTCCTTTGCATCTCGTGAAGATCGTTTCTGAAGCATTCTTTGATCTAGGGGTAACATTCATTGCAATCTTGAAAGATAGTTTGTGTCAACGTCCCGTGCATGATTATATGGTGTAGAAATTCTGCATCCTATTCAAATAGAAAGTCTATGACAAATTCTCTCAGACTTGGGAGAATCCTTCACCGAAGTCTTGGAGGTTGTTCACGTTAATGTTTTAGGCGTTATTGTGGCGGGTAGTCATCCCATATTTTATCTAGACATTAAGACTTCAAGTGCCACTTACAGACTAGGGGACAACCTCACAAATAATGCTTCCTTAGCACCCCGAAGATATCAGAATTCTTCCTCAACTTGATGAGAAAGACAATATCTTCAAGCTTTGATACATGGGCTGCTTTATAAGCTTGTGTGAAAAACACTCCTACTCGGGGATAATAAATTCAATAAAAACAACTAGCAAGTTGTTAAACATTATTCTTGAGTATGGCTACATCCATATTTTCAAGAAAAAAAAAAATGATCTATATCAACCTAAGCCCCAGTCGTGAGAAATGTAAAATATTTTTTGACACGTTATTATGGGCTTAATTCGCCCCATGAGAACTCGATTCAACCTCATATATTACATGTAACAGTCATCAAGCGGAAGAACTGACTAACAGGCTTGGATAGGTCAAAATTTCTTAATGGATTTCGAACAACTTCCTCCATTACAAGATACAATCATTAAGTGGACGAGCTTCGATTAACAACATAATAAAAGACAAACATTTGTAATGGCAGAAAAGGTCTCCAAATATTCCTCTGGATGTTGAACCTAAGAGAGAAGACTCAATCAAAAGATACCATAACTCTAGAAGTCAAACCCACTAGATAAGACTCGACGGGAAGTCACAGTGCCCCTGGAAGTTGAGCCAAGGAGGCAAGACTTGATGAGAAGATGCTATAAGTTTTAAAGTTGAGCTAAGGAGGCAAAACTTGATTGGAAGCTACTATACCCCAAGACAATGAGCCTAGGAGGCAAGTATTGATGGGAATCTACCATGCCTTCGGAATATGAGCAAAGGAGGCAAGTCTCAATGAGAATCTAGTAGTTAATAAGGTTCTTACTGGAAAGATACCGTCATAGTAAGTGATTGATAGGGATACACTCAAAAGCCTCAAAAGGCTACAAGTGCTAGAAGACATAAGAACGTAAAAGATCTTAGAATGCTACAAGCCTCAGAATGCATCAATGCATTTCAAGCTTCCAAAAGACATAAGCTTAAGAAGGCACAAACCTCAGATGGAATGAGTCTTCTTTTTTATAGCAAGTGTGGTCTTAACATTGATCGCAAATTTATGCATATTTGAGCAGATAAAAAATCTTATAACGCATAAGCCTCAAAAAAGTTTCATACCACTATACACCCCAGAAGTGAGACAAAAACATCCCAGCAGAGGAGTAGTCATAGCTTAGAAGGAAAGACAAATGCAACCTCAGAAAGAACGTCAAAAGTTTTTCTAAATCAAGAAAAAAGAGGGGTTAGACTGTAGTGAATGCAACAAGGCAAGGCTTGTAATGAAGGGCTTCTAGCATAAGAAAGGAGTGGGTACACAGATATCTTCAACCCCATTAGTGAAGATGACGACTGTCAGGGTTGTGTTGAATCTGGTAGTAGACAGAGATCTATATATTGAGCAGATTAATGTAAAAATAGCTTTCATACATGAAGATATGGAGGAGGAGCTATACATAGTGCAACCACAAGGTTATAAGATTCCAGACAAAGAAGGTTTAGTCTGCAGATTGAAGAAGAGTCTTTATAGCTTGAAGCGGGCCCTGAGATAGTGATACAAGATGTTTAACAGGTTCATGCCAGATAATGGGTACATGAAGTGCTAGACAGACCACTGTTGCTTCATCAAACGCTTCGGTAACTATTATATTTTATTTCTTTTGTATGTGGATGATATGCTGATTGTGGGGGCATATATAGAGAAAATGAGGGACAATAAGAAATAGTTATCAAGTGAGTTTGTGATGAAGGATTTCGTTTTAACCAAGAAGATCCTTAAGATGATAATTAGCAGGGACAGGAGTGCAAGAACACTGATGTTGTCTCAATTAGAGTATGTTGAAAAGATCTTACAGAGGTTCAACATAAGCAAGGCGAAATCAGTTAGCTCCCTTAGGTAGTCACTTCAAACTATCTAAGAAGCTATTGCCTAACTCTAAATTAGAGAAATCATAAATGGAGAGAAATCTATAGTTGGAAGTTTGATGTATGTGATGATATTGTATATGCAGTGGGAGTGGTTAACAAGTACATGTGCAATCCAAACAAGCATCATGAGAGGTGGTAAAGTGGATTCTCAAATAGTTGAGAAAAACAATCAGCAGGGAACTTTGATATGGAAGTGCATGGATCAGCCTACAAGGATTACATAAATTTAGATCAACAGAAGATGTAGACAGTAGGAGAAGTAAAATGGGTATATATTTAAATTGGGG